ATAAGATTTTATCCGAGCATCTGTTTAATTGGTGGGACCCCCCACCGCAATAAGAAAGGCAGGGCACTGCAATAATGAGACCATGGCAATGTATGCATTCTCTATTAAGCACAATAGGAATGTATTGTAGTTTCGCCGATCCAGACTGCAGCTCAGCAATCAAAAACGAAGCCTGCAGACAGATTTTTGAACACCCCCGGAAAAAATTCATTCACTGTGGCGGTATTTCCCCATACGGAAACCCCCGTAATGGAGGTAGTGATTATCTTTTAGAATTCAGAGGCTCTCCTCTTCAGAATTTCAAGACTTCCCTCTTTAGGGCTTTGGGAAAAGACTTAGGGAGTAAAATCATGGGAATATGATTTAGGGATCCCACCCTTTAGGATTTAGCGAGAAGATTTAGTGAGCCATTTAGTGACCCACCCCCCCCCCGCCCGCCCCAGATTTAGGGACTGGGGGAATATGATTTAGGGAATACGATGTAGGAATCCCGTGCTTTCGGATTTAGCGAGCAGGATTTTGGGAAGAGGGTTTATGCAACAGAAAATTGTGTGAATAAGGTCAAAGGATTTAGGGAGTCGGTCTCATCTTTAAAGCGTTTTGATGTCACGCAAGTGTAGAAAATTAGAAAACGGTAGGTTTTGGAGGGGGGGGGTAGCATATATATATATATATATATCGCAAGAGAGGGTTATAAGTAGAGGTATAATACACTCTATATGTATACATACACCAGTCATGGAGTTCTATACATGAAGATGTGCCATGCTCGTCCTGCCTCTGAGCTCGTCTTTGGAGCTCAAGTAGTGCCTGCTCACCTCCGGCTCAAGGTTTAGGGTTTAGGGTTTAGGCTTTAGGGTTTAGGGTTTAGGGTTTAGGGTTTCGGTTTAGGGTTTAGGGCTTAGGGCTTAGGGTTTAGGGTCTAGAGGGTCACTGTTCTAGCATTCATAGTCATTAGGGGGTTCCAGGCTTAGGAAAAAACCCACCCGCCCAAAGAATCCCAAAACAGTAAGAAAATATAAATTTCATCCAAGGACTTGCCTTAATCGACGAAGGGCCTGCCTTATTCGGCGAAGGACTTGGCTTATTCGACGAAGGACTTGGCTTATTCGACGAAGGACTTGGCTTATTCCACGAAGGACTTGGCTTATTCGACGAAGGACTTGGCTTATTCGACGAAGGACTTGGCTTATTCGACGAAGGACTTGGCTTATTCGACGCATTCATTAGGGTTTAAATAAATAAAAATAAATAAATAAATATATGTATATATATATATATGAAGAGAGGTTTAGGGTTTAGGGTTTAGGGTTCAGGGTTTAGGGTTCGGAGGGTGATCACTGCAGGCCAGTGGGAAGTCAGGGACTCTCGACAGGCTTGGGTTTAGGGTTTTGGGGTCTCAGAACCCCAACCCTAAATTTTGCTGGCTGTTGAAGCTCGAGGTTTTAGGGCTTTGGGGGTCACGAATCACCAAAAGAACTTTAAGTGAACAACAAGAAGGGTGAAGCAGGGTAACGCTGGGGGTCCTAGCCAGAAGAGCACCAGGATTTCACTCCAATCTTTGGAAAAGTAACACAGAACCTGACGGGAGCCAATCCTTGGGGTTTTTTATTTTAGGGTTTAGGGCTAGGGTTTAGGATTTAGGGATGGTCGGCTGTCTACATCACAGTTGTGGTCCTTGTTCTCATGCAGCACATCCCCTCAAGAGGACCAGTATGCCGGGCCCGCTGCCCAGCGCGCACCGATGTCTTGCATCCAGATCCTCCGACATTGCCGAACCTCATCCCCCTACAACCCAAACCGGTAGGGCAGTGCAAACACTAAACCCTAAACCCTAAACCCTACACCCTACACCCTACACCCTAGACCCTAAACCCAAACCGGTGGTGCAGTCTTGCAGTTGCAAACCCATCCTCAGCGGAGGCATCGCTGCTATCTAACCTTGGAAGACTGGCACAGGAGTGGCTGTTTAGGGTTTAGGGTTTGGGGTTTACTGAACCATACACACAACAGAAGGTCTATATCCCTGTTGATCGGCTTGTTTTCGACATGCGGCTTGTCAAACTCCAGATATATGCCCAACCTGCAGAAAATAATGACAAGACAACACATACTAAGACGCCTAACAATGATGACACGAACCATACTGGTATTACTCATAATGCGCAATACTCGGAAAATGCAAAATACTCAGAACACGAATACTACAAACAAAAGCACTACTAACAATACTAGCGGCAGTAATCTCAGCAATGACAGTAATCATTCCAAATACGAGAAACGACCCGGCACACCTCCATTCTGATAGCTCGGTTTTTTGGGACACCCTCAACCCTAAACCTGTACTCCCCTTAGAACCTTAATGAAAAATTATGTTTAATATGGTCTTGGGTTTTATGTAAACAAAAATAAAAGAAGAACTCCCAAGGAGGATGTAGAAACCCTGAGCCCAATCTTCAGAGTTTAAGGCGGCACCCTCCCGAGCCTGACATGCACAAGACCGCTGAGCACAGCACACCCACACCGAGTCGATGATCTTCTGAAGGTTCCTCTCAGCTTGGGAGGTGCTCATCCAGGTATTTATTGGGGTTTACAAGGAGGGGCCCCCCCTAGTTATAAGTAGAGTTAGAAGGACCCTAAATTGGGCTATCAGGATCCTGACTTAGGTTATAAGTCTCTTGTAGGGGTCAGGTCCCGCGCGACCCCGAGTTTGAAGCCCTAAGTAGGGTGTCGGCTTTCGTGCGGAGTCTAGGCTTTGAGATGCCAAACACGATGCCAGTTATCGTAGGAGCAACAGGTTTAGGGTTTAGGGTTTAGGGTTTAGGGTTTAGGGTTTAGGGTTGCTGCATGAGGCCCAAACGGGATTGACAAACTACCCCCCCTCACAAGAGGCCTTTTCTTCCAACCGCCGCCGGTGCGAGGCCCTACAGAGGCTTGCCCAAACCTGAACATAGACCTAATCAATTAGGGGCTGCATACCCTAGCCCAAAAAGCTTAACCTTTATATGTAGTAGGGTTCTACATCACCAAAAAGGTTTAAAGTTCCGTACCCAGTCCCTAAGATCAATTGCCCGAAAGCTACCCTTTGCTTAAGAACCCTCAGAAAACAGAAAGTAATATTCCCTATATTGCCTTTATAAGAACGTTAGCGATTTGTTTTTTCTTTTTGGGAGGTTCTTAAGCAAGAACCCTAAACTACCCTAAACCCTAAACCCTAAACCCTATGATATTAGGACAGCTGAGGCGGCCGCTTCTTCTGGCCAGTCTCGCCGGTGCAGTAGCTGAGCAGCGCGGTGTCTCCTCCTAGCAGGATCTGGGTTGGCTCAGGAGCTTTCGAGGAGATGTTAGGGTTTAGGGTTTGGGGTTTAGGGTTTGGGGTTTGGGGTTTAGGGTTTGGGGTTTGGGGTTCGCTTTTTTTTCCATCTCAGGTCCCATTAGCCCAGGTGATGCTCGCGGCGGCGCACGACGCCCTCAGTCCGAATCAAAGCACCAGGGTACCTCGACCCCAATTGCAGTTCCATGTTTGAGTATTGTACCTTGTTCTATGGTCAGGATTTAGGGTTTAGGGGTTTAGGGCTTCGGGCGTAGGGCTTATATTACAGGGTTTAAGGTTTAGGGTGCAAATTGAAGCGCATCAGTTTAGGGATGCTAGGGGTTTAGGGTCTATAGGGTTTAGGGTTTAGGGGTTCATGTGTTTGAGGTTTAGGATTTAAGGGTTTTTTGGGGGGGGGGGGGGGGTTAAGGAGGGTAAGGGACTCAAAAAACATGGAAGACCAGGTTCAGGGTTCTAGGGTCTCTGAGCCCTGCGGAATACTGTATCCGACTCTGCGAAGTCCATGGACTTGTGAGAATGTTCGGAAGCTTTCGCCTAGGGCCTTTCAGCGGCAAACCCCGTCTAAATGTGAAAAAGCCGTTCGTGGATGCCAAAACGCTCACCAAGCCAACAATCCAAACCTGCTGACTGCTGGCAGCCTTGACTCAGCGTCTGCGCGAGCCGGTACAGCTCCTGCCGGCCCAGACCACGCTCTCCTAAACCTTCGATTCTCTGGGTTGGCCTTTAAACACCCTGAAAAATATTCATATATAGGGTCGCTTACAAACCCATATGAGGAAAATCAAAAATTTCCCAAAATCCAACCTAGTTCTTCACGGTAAACTCTAAACCTAGGAGAGAAGATTAGGGAGCCCCCTTGGGAACATAGGCCCTCCCATTAAGGTCCCTTTTAAGAGGCCTGGGCCCAGAAGGGTTAAGAAGGGTCCCTTTCAAGGGGTCTCCCTAGTACTGCCTTGGAAAACCCCAAAACCCCAAAACCCTAAACCCCTCTAAACTCCTAAACCCCAAACCCCAAACCCTACACCCCTAAACCCTAAACCCAAACCCCTAAACCCTAAACCCAAACCCCTAAACCCCGAAAACCCTAAGCATCCCCAAGGAGTTCAGCGGGCATGGCATCCTGGGAGCCTTTGCCAGCGGGCCAGCCCCCATGATTGGCTTAGGGCATGGTTGGGCCACTTGCAAGCACGTTCCTAGGCGGCTTAGGGTTTAGAGCTTAGGGTTTGAGGCTTCAGGTTTCAATGCTACGCCTACCACAGAAATTCAGCTAACTGCAACTTTTTTCGCAACACTGGTGGGGAGATCAGCTTTGCGTCTCAAGTCGCCGACGCCGGGATGGACCAGGTCGGTCCTGACTCCGCTCCTTCGCTGACGCTTCTCACGACCGTGCTTTAGAGCTGAGGGTTGGAGGGTCGTAAGGCCAAGAAGGACTGTGCCGCTGGCGCTGTGGTGTCGGGCATCGTCAGAATACAAGCTTGGAGCTTCGGTCTTGCCACTCCCCACACCAGCTGCCAGGTTTCCACTGCTGCTCCTTTGCCAAGCTGGTTGCCGAACTCGGCTCGTCTTCACGGGAGCTTCCGTCCATCAGGACCGACTCTCGCACTGCCAATGCCGCTGTCGCCTTGATTGCTGTTTGGCTGCATCCTGCCCGATCTTGCCATTTCGGCTAGCCGCCATCCCACCACGAGGAAAACCATTCACCCATGCGCTCGAAGACGCCACGGTCGACATCCTGCAGCATAACATCATTCTTGATCTCGATATTCACGTTTACAAGGGTATGCAAATAAACGTGCGAATATACCCTAAAGCTGAGATCGAACCAGCGTCCTCCTTGGGGAAGACCACCTTTGTGGGAAAGGGAGCTTCTGTCGGGCGCGTTTGAGGACTACATAAGCATGTCTTCCAGCTTGTGTGGTCAATCCTGTTCTTGAGACCCCACGCTGGACACAATCGCCACCCTCCTTGCACACTACGCAGCACGAGCCGGAGAGTAACGGTTAAGGCTCCTGTGGTAGCCGGAGCAAAACACGAAATTCGATACCCAAGACGAGGTCTAAACCCCGTGCAAGCTTATGTGCTTGTTGGGCTTGAGGTTACATCGTTCAGGCTGAATCAAGCCCTGCAAAACACCCGCAATCCAATACCCTTCGCTCTAACCCCTACGCCCTACTACTATTTGCTTAAGAACCCCCAAAAAATGAAAAATAATATTCCCCATACTAGCCTTATAAGGAAGAACATTTCTATTTTTTGAGGGGTTCTTAAGCAAATAGTAGCCTACTTTCATGATGCCGGCCGGCCATCAGCAGAGGTGGCTGCCCTGGCAGCTCTGACAGCGCGGTGCCCCGAGGCACCACCGCACCGGCACAGATCAGACGCAGCCGGGGCCGGGAAAGGTCGAGACCTCGGGGGTTTTGACAGTTGGGCGTTTCCCAATTTTGGGGGTACCTTATTGGGGTCCTCATTTTCCGAGGAATCCTACTATTTTTGGGGGGTCTATGTTCGGGGTCCCTTGGTTCTCGAGGCCTAAGTATTAGGCCTTGTTTTGTTGTGTGTTGGGGTCTTGAGTGGTTCTTCCCTCTGGTTCTTAGTAGGGAATGAGGGAATGAGGGCCCTATATAATCCCTTAAAGGGTATATATAGGGCCCTCAATCCCTCATTCCCTGCTGTACTAAGAACAAGCCAGTCTTACTGGGTGCCATGCATTGTCGGCCTTGGTTGGCTTTGCCTCCGAAGACGTGCTTCTTCACTTTGGCATGTCCTGCCCCTGATCCCTAAACCCTAAGCCCTAAACCCAAAACCCTAAACCCTGTAGTTTTCTCGGGGTGGCAAGCTTTGCAGGACAGCCTGGAGTCCAAAACTTCTCGAACCCTAAACCCTGCAAGGGTTAGCGTCTTTAGGTGTCCAACAAAAACGATATGTTATATGTTTCAGATATATAAACATATACATATGATGTATATATATATATATATATATGCACACATATATATATATATACACACATATATATATACATATACATATATACACAAGCTTCTAAAATTCATAGGGTTGCACAGTGCAGCGCCTTAACCTTGGTTGTCGAGTCCGAAGACTTTCGAGTTGCCTCGAAGCCCCAAATCCATAGAGCCCAAAGCTCCCATTCTCACACACGTGCCCAGCCTCAACCCTAAACCCGAAATCCTAAACCCTAGGCCCTAGACCCAAAACCCTAAACCCTATTCCCAAAACCCTAAACCCCAAACCCTAAGCCCTATGCAGAACAAAGCCTAAATCCTACGGCCTGCCGCCTCAAACCCTAGACCCTAAACCCTAAACCTTAAAACCTAAACCCTGAACCAAAAATTTTCATTCGCAGCCGGGGCCCGAACCAAAGAGCCGGCCCACGGCGCTATGGAGATCCTCGTCCTGAGGCCCCCATTAGGAGTCATGGTAGGGTTTAGGGTTTAGGGTTGAGGGTTGAGGGTTTAGGGTTTAGGGTTTAGGGTTTAGGGTTTGGGGTCAAGGGTCTAGGGGTCTAGGGGTCTAGGGTTCTAGGGGTCTTGGGGTCTAGGGTTTAGGGTTTCAGATTGGAGGGCTTGAAGCTTTCAGCTGGGGTTCACGCGGTAAGGGCTTAAGTCTGGCCCCTGGGAGTTTCGGGGTTTGGCGGCCAAGAGTTTGTGCACATACGCGTGAATGCGCGTGGCTGGCTATCAAATAGTTCGTCCTGAAGCCTAAACCCTAAACCTAAACCTTTAACCCTAAACCCTAAACCCTGAACCCTAAACATCCCTAAACCCTAAACCCTAACCCCAAACCCTAAACCCTAAACCCTGAACCCTTGTTTCAGGCTTGTAGCCTCTGAGAATGATGGCCCAGCGTCAGGCCCCAAACGGAGGCCACGGATGTGGATGCTCTTGTAGCGAACCGAGAAGGCCTCAAGTCAAAGCCAGCAGACGAAGGAGGGCTTGGAGTTGTTGGTGTGTAGGGTGAGGGTTTAAGGTTTAGGGTTTGGGGTTTAGGGTTTAGGGTTTAGGGTTTGGGGTTTGGGGTTTGGGGTTTAGGGTTTAGGGTTCAGGGTCCGCGAGGCAGGAACGCAGCCTAAATGAGTCCCCCCCGCCCCCCTCCCACCCCGTCCCACCCCGTCCCACCCCCTCCCACCCCCTCCCACCCCCCTCCCACCCCCTCCCAACCCCCTCCCACCCCCTCCCAACCCAAGAAATATTCGCAACTCACGCTCCAAGATAGCACTTTAGCACGTTGAACTGCGAACCCTTCAAGGCTTTCAGGGTTCAACGTTTCTCTCTCGAGCTCTGCGAGCAACATCTTGGTAGCCCAGAAGCCATATTTTCATGAGGGTACCCTTTTTGGGGATTGGTTACTTTACAAGGGCACCTTGAACAAAAAAACGGGAAAAGTGCACCACTGGGCTACCAAGAGACATCCTGCGACACAGTCTTGTCGCCCACCAAGGTCCGGATGTTGGCACGGCAGTTCGGGCACAGGGCCGCGCTTCCCAGATCAGCAAAGGTGATGTGCTTGGACCTCGGTTTCTGAGCCTTTCTTAGACTCTTAGATTCATAGAAGACGTCCAAGAACAATCTTCAAGTTACACAAATCCCCATCCTGGCTCCACGTGCAGACTGCGGTGCAGTGTACAGACTCAGGCTGGGGCACACATCCGGCGCAGAACAGATGGTCGCATTCTGCCCGTAGCATTTGCTGGCCCCTGTCACGCACGAGAGAACCCCGCTCACGAACCCAAACCCGTAAACCACGTTCCTAAACATCAAAACATCAAAATGAGGAAGCGCAAGTAGAGGTCTAAGTCTGGGAGGAAGGAGGATGGAAAGATGCACGAAAGGGACAGCTGTGAGTTTCGATCCAGTCCTTGCCGAGCAGCAAGATCGCAATAAGTGTGTATTGTCAGTTGTGTCGTGCGTAACACCAGGGCTCATCGTGGATGCCTCGTCTTCTAGAGCAAAAGGTGCTTTGTCATGTCACCACACGAATAAGGTAGTGGGAGGTGGGAAATGTTGCGAGGCGATGGCGGGGATGCGAAATGTGGTTGCAGATAGCTTGATGAGATTGTGCGATAGAATGCCAATGTCTTGTATGAATTGCGCACCGGCATCTCATTGCGTGGTGTGCACTGCTTTGTGATGTTGTGAATACCCATGACATGATGTGAGGCATGGCAGTCTTTCATGCGATGATGAAGTGCGCAGCATATGAGTAGGGCGAGCATGCGTTGGCATGATGCCAGTGTGCCGTGGTACTGCGCAATAAGGTGACTTGTGATGATGTCAAGCGTGACATGGCATCTGACTTCTTATGATCTGCAGTGTGATGAGTCTGACGTGGCAGGTTGGTGACGAGTTGTAGTGAAGCACGGGGCGGCATATAACCTGCCTTGGAAGATGTTGATGCGACAACGCGGCGCTTGGCGGTGTCTGGAGCTCGGGAGATGAATTAGATGAGATGTAACGTAGTGCGACATGGCGATGCGATGCAATGAATATGAAGAGGGAGCCGTGCAGTAAGCGGTTTAGGGTTTAGGGTTTAGGGTTTGAAGTGTCAAGCCCGCAGGTAGCTGGCGGCTTCTTCAAGGTGGTGATTCTGGTCAGGAACGGCCAGGTGCTTGCAGATCAGGATCAGGATACAAAGAGGAAGAGCAGATGGAGGAGCAGAAAAAGACGGATGAGATAGGAAGGAGGGAGGAGAGGCACTCAGTACTTAGCTCATGAACTTAGTGAAACCCTAAACAGTAAACCCCACACCCTGAACCACTACTACAGCCTGATGGATCAGAAACAAGGCCAAGACACTCAGACGCCAAAGCCTTCCACCCTGCAAACCCCCAAAACCTGTTTTGGACCTGAAACCCTAAACGCTTTGAGACCCTAAACCCCTAAACCCTAAACCCCAAACCCTAAACCCTAAACCCTGCCCAGCCCCAAGAACTGCGCCCGAAACTGGAAGCTCGTTCCACGGCGCCTGTCTTGACAGATGGAGCAGAAAGCTCGATCCGCCGAGGCGGAAGTGCTCGCCGTCGACATGGGCTTAGGCTGGGGGTTGCGGACCCTAAGCCCACAACCCTAAACCCCTAACCCTAAACCTGAAGTTCAGAGGTTTTCGGGGCTCAAGACCCCGCGAGCCTTTCTGCTTAGACCAAAAGCCTGTTCCATTGTGGTTTAGTTTAGGGTTTAGGGTTTAGGGTTTCGGGTTTCGGGTTTAGGGTTTAGCGTTTAGGGTTTAAGGGTTTTAGGGATTAGGGTGTTGGGGTTTAGGGTTATTGGGGGGGCGGGAGGGGTTGCACGATGTGTGCATTCACGTGCAGTGGCCGAAGCTCATGCTTGATCGAAGAAGCGCTCCGAAAAAACCTTCAGAGCGCACGATTGAACCCTAAACCCCAAACCCCAAACCCTAAAGCCTAAGCCACTTCTTCTAGGCAGTCTCCTGGACACGGCGAACCAAAAAGGTGCAACACTTAGAAGCAACACGCAGCCGCATATGTCTAGAACGCTTCCTAAGAATGATCTAAGGGAGCTTACAGCAACGATCAGCAACGGCTCTCGCATAAGAAAGTAGGGTGTGCCTTGTTAAGGTTCAAAAATATGATAGAGTACATCTCACCGCCGACTTAGTCCCCAGAGGTTGGTGGGAAAACTTGTTGCAGCAGCTTTTGTCGGAATGAGGAAAGGCTAAATCGTGAGAACACTTAAACCCTAAACCTCAGCCTAAGCTTGCCCAGAAAAGCGGAATCCCCGAAACAAACCAGACAACCCTAAACCCTAAACCTGTAAACCAATGATTTGCCATCCTCAAGACCCTTGCACAATTTCCCAAGCCCCAGACCTACACACGCACACCCTAAACCCTAAACCCTAAACCCTAAACCCTAAAAGCCCAAACATCCTAAACGACCTAAAGCTCTTTGGGTCGTTACATGGTCCCTTAGTAAGGGCCCTTAAACAGGGTACCCCTTATATACCCCCTACAGCCCAAGGGCCCCTACATGAGAACCCCTTAAAGAGGGCAAGGGACTATCTTAACGGTCCGTGAAAGCTGCCCTTAGATAAACCCCAAGACCCAAAACCTAGCTCTCATTGTACTAACAGTCCTCAATAAGGAATATAATCGGGGGTACTATAAATCCCTATTCTGAACTGTTAGTCTAATGGGGAACATCCCAACTCTACACCCTAAACCCTAAACCCTAAACCCGAAACCCTAAAACCTAAACCCTAAACCCTAAACCCGAAACCCTAAACCCTAAACACTAAACCCTAAACCCTAAACCCTCTCAAGGTGCTAGCGCCGATCCTCCGCTTCGTGGATCTTGCGCTCGCGGACGAGGCAAAAGACCTGGCGAGCTGCCAGCGAGGCCCTGGATGGGGTCTCATATGAAGGTCTTAGGGTGCAGGGTTTCGGGTTTAGGGGGTAGGTTTAGGGTTAAAGGTTTAGGGTTTAGGGTTTAGGGTTTAGGGTTTAGGGTTTAGGGTTTAGGGTTTAGGGTTTAAGGGTTAGGGTTTAGGGTTTAGGGTTTAGGGTGACCCAAGAGTAACCTAGGAATTTAAAAAAGGTTTCCTTGTTGTTTTCAAGGGGATTGCAAGGGAACCTAAACACCCCCCCCCCCCCCACCCAAAACCCAAACGGTTGCAAGAGGACCTCAAACACATGAGCTTGCGGCCCCAAAAGCCTTTGTGCAAGCCCTACACCGGACATGGAGTTGAACTGAGGCTTAAGATTTAGGGTTCAGGGTTTGGGGCCAGGGTTTTGGGTTTTGGGTTTTGGGTTTTGGGTGTAGGGTGTAGGGTGTAGGATGTAGAGTTTAGGGTTTAGGGTTTGCTGTGATAGGGCGTAGGTGCTGTGAAGGTTTGGTTTCGGAACAAGCTCGACAGCTTCGTGAGGTGCGAAGAGCAGCTTTGGCCCGCTTGCGGAGGGCCATCTACACCCCACGCCGTCCGAGGCGGCAAAGCCACCCAAATACAAAAAGGGACTAGAGTGTTCCGGTACCGGGCCCATCGTGGGCGATACCGACCCCCATGCTGTGGGACTGGGTCGGCTTGCGCCATCGAGGTCGAAGACCAACGTAGGGGGGCGGCCTAGGCCCTGAGTTTAGGGTTTAGGGTTTAGGGTTCAGGGTTCAGGGCTTTTGGAACTTCGGGCCTAGGGCTTCGCCCCAAACGCGGACGCCTCCTGGTGGGTCAGGGCACCGCTGGCCTTCCGTTTGAGCCGTCGCCTTGGAAAATGACCAGGACTGGACTTCTCGGGCCCATCTCCCAAGTAGACTAGGGATGGGATTGGCCTTTAGGCTTTAGGGTTTAGGGTTTAGGGTTTAGGGTTTAGGGTTTAGGGTTTAGGGTTCCTAAACACTAAACTCTAAACCCTAAACCCTAAACCATAACCCAGAACCCTGAACCCTAAACCCTGAACCCTAAGCTCGTTTTAGTAATGGACCTACTAGGGAACCCGGAACCCAAAGCCGAGCAAAGGCTGCTTTTGAAAAAGTCGGAGACCGCCATATGGTGAGTCCTCGAAATTATGGTCCCTTCTTGGGTTCCCGAACTAAGAGGGGCCGCCTTATCATAAGAACCTCAAAAAAAGGAACAGAATTTAGAGAACTGACCCTATGAGCCGTAAGTTGCTGCGGTCTAGGGATTGGAGTTGAAGGTTGAGGGGTTTAGGGGTTTAGGCTTGAGTGCTTTAGGGGTCTAGGGTTTAGGACGGTAAGTTTCATTCAGGGGCTTATATAGGAACACTATAAGGAATATAGCATTCCATCCCTGCAACCAACCTTTATGCAGGGCGTGGAATTGCAGGATGTCCGGAGCCCACTTGCGCAAGAACCCGCATATACCTTGGGATGTTCCCCTTTCCTAAGGATTAAAGTAGGGGGTACCATAATCCCGATTAAGGACTGCTAGTCAAACCCTCAACCCTAAACCCTAAGCCGCTACCATGAGAAGAGCACTGGAAACGATGCTTAGGCCGGGGCATGCCAGGCTCGTCTAGGCCGCAGAGGCTGGGAGCAACATTCTGGTTCGCTGGGTTTAGAGCATGGGGAGACTTCATAGGATGGCCCTTAAGCAACCCTCTGAAAAAAAAACACTCCTGAAATATGAGCCTCTCTCAGACCCAATAAGGGAACATGTAACATGTCCCAAAGGGCCTACCGAGATTTTCCTAAACCCTAAACCCTAAACCCTAAACCCTAAACCCTAAACCCTAAACCCTAAACCCTAAACTTGAGGGTTTCGGGTCGAGGCTTCGGATGCCGCCCCTTGCAGATCTTCCTGCTCATGTCTAAGGGGAGCAAAGTGTTTCAAGCCCTCCGTCCCAGGTTGCCTATCTTGATTGAAAAATGGCAGTCCGGCCGCGTGCAACTTTGTGGGATTTAGGGTTTAGGGTTTAGGGTTTAGGGTTTAGGGTTTAGGGTTTAGGGTTTAGGGCTCAGGGCCTACAGCCTGCATCCTTTCATCCAAGGCTCCGCTCTTTTTTTCGACATTTCGCCACACTTGGTGCAGAGGGGCTTGTGGGACAAGACGCTTCTTTGCTACTCATGCCTCCCATTTGCAGACAAGCACGGATGCTCATGTGCTTGTTGGATGTTGGTGCCGATGAGCAGAATTTTACCAGCAAGGGAGATGATTCTACTGTGCCTGCGTGTGCGCAGCCGGTACGCAAAAACCTGGGGTTGTC